TTCACTTGCACATTTTGGAGTACGTGCGTTGGAGTCTTGCGTGGGGAGCTGCGTTGTGCCATCTCGCTCCCCCCTTCTTCCTCCATCTCCATCTCAGCCCAGGCTGCGCACCACACCCGATGGGTCCGCTACATTGGTATCGGAGCGGGAACGTTCCCCGCTCCCACCCACCACCCTGTACAGCTGTTCAGCTGAGGAAAACAGCAAAAACCCGACAGCGGTTTTTTTCGTTGTTTTTCGGGTGTTTTCCAGTGAAAACGCAGGGAAAAAGAGACGCCTGCAGGAGGTGACACGTGGCGAAAAAAGCAGGCGCCACCACGAGCGCGCGCGCGCAAGCGCCAAGGCCAAGGCCGCCAGGCAGCGTGCCCACCACCCCGTACAGCTGTACAGCTGAGGAAAACAGCAAAACCCGACAATGGGTTTTTTCGCTGTTTTTCGGGTGTTTTCTAGCGAAAACGCAGGGAAAAAGAGACGCTTGCAGGAGGTGACACGCGACGAGAAAAGCAGGCGTCACCGCGAGCGGCGAAAACGCAGGGAAAAAGAGGCGGCTGCAGGAGGTGACATGCGGCGAAAAAAGCAAGCGCCACCGCGAGCGCGCGCGCGGAAGCGCCAAGGCCAAGGCCGTCGCAGCGCCACCGCGAGCGCGCGCGCGGAAGCGCCAAGGCCAAGGCCGCCGCACGCCCACGCTGCCCCGCTGCCCCGCCCCCGGATTATATTAATCAAGATCCGGGATGCATGCTGCCGCTGGGGTTTGAACCCAGGCAGCTGCCAGCCATACGCGTGCGTGTACCACTCTCATAACTGTCTCTTATACACATCTAGATGTGTATAAGAGACAGCGCGGGTGTTTCGTTGCCATACCGGAGGAGGATTGACCTACTGCACAAAAAACCGTTGGGTTTCGAAGCACACTTCAAAGAGCCACGCCACCTGATGCAAAACGTTCCTTCAAAATCCTACCAGTCACCACTCATTCTCCGAAACCTAAACGAGCAGCAGCAAAAGGGGGGGGGGCAAGGCAGGCAGCACAGGGGTAAGGTAATCAGGCAACATTCCTGAGTCAAATGAAAATAAAGAGTAAGCCAAGGAAGTGAAACCCTAGCCCGATGAATGATATTGCTGGCCGGGCAATAGCAAACATCCCCAACTAGCCAGCCCCTAGCCGCCACCATAGCCCACAAAAGAACCCCGCAGAAAGAGTGGGGAAGAAGAAAACCCCATTCCAGACAACCGAAAGAAACGCAGCCATCCTGCTGCAAATGCCCAACCCGCTCCTCCCGGGAGACGCATCATCATCAAGAGCATCTTCATTATCATCATCCGCAGCATCGTCATCATCATCAGTAGCATTAATATCATCGTCATCATCATAAGCATCATCTACAGCAGCAGCATCGGCCTCACCGGCATCATCAAGCGCGCCATCGTCAGGCCCAGCCACATCATCCAAAAAGCCACCATTGTCATCGTCAGCGGCAATAGCAGCTTCATCATGAACATCATCAATTTCAGCTTCATCATCACCAGCAGCATCAGCCGCATCATCATCATCATCATCATCTGTAGCGGACCTCTGGTTGGCCTGTGAGACCAGCCCCTTGGCCTGTTCTCACAGGCCTGTGTTCTATTCGGGGGCAGTCCAGTCCAGGTCAGGCCGGTACCTCTGTCGGTACCAGCCAGTTCAGTTCAGTCCAGTCAGTCCGCTGGGGTATACCCCAGCAGTTGTCTGTTTCGTCCTCATTCTTCACTTGCACATTTTGGAGTACGTGCGTTGGAGTCTTGCGTGGGGAGCTGCGTTGTGCCATCTCGCTCCCCCCTTCTTCCTCCAT